TTCATTACTAGCAAGGACTTGAGCATATTCACATTTTGATAGGAGGTTAAATTGATTCACAAGCACATTCACCATAGCATTATTTACAATATTAAAAATGTTGCCATACATAATATTATAAAACTATAAACTACAATACAGTTTTATACAGCCAACACCAATAAAAATATTGTGCAAGAAGCATTTCTAATGATGTAGGAAAGTGGTCACGCTATCATGGTACCAAGGTAGGACAGAAACTTACCAATTTGTCCTTTTCTGTGAGTTTCCATTTCCTCACTTGTAATATCAGGATAATAATATTTGTTTTGCAAAATTCTGGTGACAGTCACGGGCATGGAAAGTACAACACAGGGAATACAGTCAGTAACATCGTAATTCTGTAAAGTGTCAGATGGCTGACTGCTTTGTAAGTTACATAAATGGCTACTCACCGTGTGGTACACCCGAAACTAATATAATATTGCATGTCAACTGTAATTAGATTTTTTTTAAATTTTACAGATTGCCTCTAAAAATACCCCAAGTTGTTGTGAATGTTAAATACTGTATTAAGATAAGTAATACACTGTTGGGCACATGGCAGGCTGCAACTGTAGTGTTCAGTGTTCTCCCTGATTTGCCTCTGAACTTCCTGTTTCAGCTTTAATTTGCACCACCTGCTTGGTGTAACTTACATCTTCATCAAATTGTTCATTTTTTAAGAATTTTTATTTATTCACTTATTTATTTTTAGAGGAGAAGGGAAGGAGAGAGGGAGTCTTCTGCTGGGAATTGGCTTACAACCCAGGAATGTGCTCTGACTGGGAATCGAACTGCGATCCTTTGGTTCACAGGCCCGAGTTCAATCCACTGAGCTACGCCAGCCAGGGCCTCATCAAACTGGTTTTTTATTGATTTCTAAACATGTCCCTTTTTCCCAACTGTTTTCCCCCTCTGGGTCCAAATATTACTCATTCTTAAGGGCCAAATTCAAGCTCTGTTCCTCTCTTAAAGCCTCCCCTGATTTTCACCATCACTGAAACATGCTCTTTACCTTGGGCCCTCGAGAGAGCTCACTCCATTGTTTGCAATGATTCTTACATGGACTTAAAGAAGAATTACCTGCATGTGTCTTATTTCTTCTACCAAATTTTGAGCTCGTTGAGATAGGGCCCTTCTGCCAAAATTGGTAAGTGAATTTAGAAAGCACAGGGATGCAAAGCCAATATAAAAAATTATTCTATTCTATATACTACTACAGAGCAACTGGAGAATGAAATTTAAAATATACTGTTTGCAATGCATAAAAAATATCAAATACAAAGGAGTAAATCTAATAACATATATAGGATATCTACTCTGAAAACTATAAAACATTGCCGAGGTAATTTTTTAAATTCTTAAAGAAAGGAACACATACCATGTTTATGAGTAGGAGAACTCAATGCTTACTTATAGATTGCCCCCTATAAAAGCCCAAGTTTCTTTGGGGAAATAGACAAGCTGATTCTAAAATTTAAGTGGAAATGCAAAGGGTTTAGAATAGCCAAAATAATCTTGGAAAACAAAAACAAAGTTGGAGGGATTAAACTATTTTATTTTAGGGCTTACTATGAAGGTGGAATAGCTGAGACAATGCGAGGCATTAGCAAAAGGGAACAGAAGTAGATTAGTGAAACAAATTAGAAATTTCAGAAATACACCAACATGGACATGATTAACTGGTTTTTTAAATAAAGATCCGTATCAATACATGTGGAGGGCAAAGTCTCTTTAACAAATATTTTTGGGAAAACTGATATCCAAATACAATAAATAAACCTTCACCGGTAGCTTACTTTGTCATAAAAATTAATTTGACAAGGGTCACAGAGCTAAAAGGTAAAATTCACAATCATAAAGCTCCTATAGTAAACCAGAGGAAAATATCTTTGTGTCCTTGGGGCAGGCAAAAATTTTTTGGAGAGGACAAAAAAGCAATAAACATGGGAAAAATGGATAAATTAGACTTCATGAGAGTTCAAATGTTCTGCTATCAACAGGAACCATTCAGGAAGTAATTACACAAGCCAGAGAATGGGGACATACATCACAGCCCAGTTTGTCCCCCAGGGACAAACAACTGAATAAAAAATGGCAAAAGATCTGAACAGACATTTCACAAAAAAGATGCAGAAACGGCCAACAAGCACATAGACAATTGCTCCTCACTGGTCTTAGATGTGACACCCAAAGCATAAGCAGCAAGAGAAAAAAATGGACAGACTGGACAGTGCCAGAAAGTGGGAAGACAACTCTCAGAATAGGGGACGATGTTTGCATGTCATACACCTGCTAAGAGACATACCTGGAACATATGAAGAATTTTTACAACTCAAGAGTGAAAAGACAAATTACCCAATTAAAACTTGAATAGATATTCCTGCATAGAAGATTCAAAAATGGCCTAAAAGCATGTGAAAAAAATGCTCAACGTTGCTAGTCACCAGGGAAATGCAAGCCAAAACCGAATGAGATACTTTGTGTGCATTAGGGCAGCTACATTAAAAAGGACGGGTAGTAACCAGTGGAGGTGAGGATGTGGAGCAACTGGAGCCTTCATTCATTGCTGGCAGGAGTATAATATGCCACAGCCACTTTTGAGAACAGTTTGACAGCACCTCAAACCGCTTATGATTTTGTCATAAAAGAGTTTGTAATAGCCCCGGCTGGTGTAGCTCAGTGGATTGAGCACAGGCCTGTGAACCAGAGGATCACGGTGTGATTCCCAGCCAGGGCACATGCCTGGGTGGCAGGCCAGTTCCTAGCAGGGGACGCACGAGAGGCAACCATACATTGATGTTTCTCTCCCTCTCTCCTTCCCTTCCCCTCTAAAGATAAATAAATAAATAAAATCTTTTAAAACTATTTAAAAAAAGAGTTTTTAATAACTAATTTAAAACTAATAAAAAGAGGGGGCGTTATTTGTGCGGGGGCCCAGTACAAGTGTCAAGGTTCATCAGACCAAACACTTATGACCTGCTCATTTTACTGTACAGTAATTGTGCCTCAGCTAGGGAGGGTTGGCAGCCCAGGAAAAGGACTCCTGAAATGTGCTTCATTTGTGGCTCTAAGTATGTATTAAGCTCCCGCCGTAGAGCAGGCACTGTTCTGGGAGCTGGGGACAAAGGCGAGCGAGCCCCATGTTCTCACCTCCTTGGAGTTTACATTTGGGAGGGAGGGATGATTAAAGTAAACAGATTCATAATACAAGGTGAAGGGAAACAAAGATAAACGGATGTGGTGTAAATTGTTTTACTAAATGCAGAAACTTGGGAGATTGTAGGCATCATCTTTGCTCAAGAGGAATCCAAAGTTCATTTCTTTTCTTTTCTTTCTTTTTCAAAAAATTGCCGCCCACTTGCCCTAGAAGGCTGATGCTTTGGTGTTTGTGCCTAATAATTCTCCTTGCTGAGTTTTGACCTGGCTGTGACTTTTTGGTTCCCCTCTGGGCCCAAATATGGTCATCAGGGCTTGCCCTCCGGGATGTTTCCAGGGCTGGGCCGCGGGTCTCCCAACAGGTGGGGTTGATTTCTAGAGTTTGCTTGCTGGGGACAGTGTTAACAACACACAGCTCGCCCTAGGGGTCACAGAGCCTCCCGTCCCATCCTGACCTCTGCCAGGGGTGAAGGTCTTTCTGAGGAATTCTGTGGCGTAGCTCTAGTTTGCTTTCGTTTTCCATCAGAGTCCTAGCAGCTGAACTCTATTCTATCCCAACACCTGCACTGGCGCATTGGTCTGACCTTGGTCTCACAGGGACACCTGAGGAAGGGAAGACAGTTGGAGGTATTCTCTGCCTCTTCCCACTTCAAAGGAGGCAATGCGTTGATTGCTCTGTCAAAATTTCCTTCTACCCACGAGGAAAGGATGCGACCCCAAGCAGGTCACTGCTGGGGGTGGGGGAGAGAGAGAGAGAGAGAGAGAGAGAGAGAGAGAGACAGCCAGCGTCAGGTCTTTTGAATGTGGAGGCCTCTCTTTAACCGATCTCGCTGCTCTGAGCATGCTCTGGACTTCCCTGGAATGGCGTGATCTCTCTGGAGGGCAGTCAGCCAGACATGGGGATGGCGAGGGTGGCCCACTCCCAGAGATTTCAGACGGTAGCAGACTCGTGGGGTGGTGTTGCTTCTCTCTTTCTCACCTCCTGTGGCTGTGAGTTACTCTTGCCTGCAAAAGCATCTACCATGTCTGTCAAGATGCTTCCTTTCATTGCCCTGGACCTATGGCTCTGTCGGTTGGAGTGTCGCCCTGTACACCAGAGGCTGCAGGTTTGATTCCCAGTTGGGGCCCATAGCTGGGTTATGGGTTTGATTCCCCCGTCGATCCCTGGTCAGGGGGGAGGTGCGGGGAGGTGGAGGTGAGGGGAAAGGAGGGCGTTGAAGGTTTGATCCCAGTCACCCCTGGTCAGGGTGTGTGGGGCGGCTGATAGATGTTTTTTTCTCTCTGGAGTCAGTGAATATGTCCTCAGGGGAGGATTTTTCATTTTTTTCAAAGGCGTTCTCTGTTCTGGACTCTGACCTGGCCTAGGCAAGTGTTTTGAAATGCACGGGCACACTCTGTCCATTAGGTCTCTCTGCTTCCTGGGCTCGTGTTGAAACCCCCAGAACCCTGCGCATTGTGATACTGACGTTGCATTGTTTTGTGGCCAACAGAAGTCATAGCCTTTGTAGGTTTCAGTTTCTTCCCCTATGTCACAGCAGGCAAGGGGTGACACAGTAGCCGACAGCGCTCACGAAATAAGCTGACACTTGAGACGATGGAAAAGAACAAGATTCCAGAGCCTGTTTCTTTCTCTTCCAAGTGCAGTCTCTGACTCGCTCTTTCAATGCTCTGTCCCTCAGCCTCTCTTCTGAGAAAGGGGGGTGAGCGGCTCCAGTCACCAGGCGCACCTCCACAGCCGGGAGTCCATTGAGGCAGCTGGTCTTCTGGGGGCTTGGGGGAAGGAGGAGGGGCCTGTGGCAGGCTTTCCAAGTAAAGGACCTTTATCCCAGGAAATCATGGGATTCTCATGAATGCCTGCTTATGACATACAGGTCCACGTGGGGGCGGAGTTTTGGCTTCCTTTTCCTCTGTGACATTTCTGGAAAGAGGGAACTTAAAGACACAGGCCTGGGACTGTGGCATGAAGGTCTTTGTGTAACACCCGTCTTGAAGGTCTGTGACTATCTCCAACCACATGTCAAAAGAGGGGTAGAATGTTCCCAGATCTTCATGCCACCTGGCCAGTCCCCTTAACATCATCCTCCTTTTGCCCTCCGGGTGCCCAGCAAGGAGAGGCCAGCAACAATCCTAAGGCTCTGAGCCTGGGGAGGTCAGGCCTACAGAAGGGCCTGCTGTGAGTCCCAAGGTGCTCAGGGACCTCAGGATTGTCTCCTGCCCCAGCTGCACTACAAGCTCGGTCCTTCCTTACCTATTCTTTTGTTGTTGTTGTTGTTCTCTTTCACTTATGCACACAGATCTAAGCCAAAACTTTGGGCTACATTAAGTAAAGATAATGCTTTACTAATGGCCTTGAACTAAGGCCCTATCCCATGAGTGACAGAAACAGGCCCACCTCCTCTTCCATAACTGACAGGTACTGGACAAAATGTTCTCCAAGGGATAGGAGGGACACTATCCCCTCCAAGGGACAGTGTTCCCCTCCACACTGTCAGTGGCACTGTGGTGTGAGGGCAACGGGCTAGAGCTGCACGGGCTGTCAGACCCTACCCCAGGCTTTTCCCATGGCACAGAGAGCAAGGCGATCAGGGATGGAAACCAGCTCCTAAGTCTGGGCCAGGGTCTGCCCCGCCATTTCTCTGTGCCAAGAGAAAGGAGCAGGAATCTCCCTGGCTGCGGCCTCTTCCCTGTCTGGTGGTCCACACTAGAGTGATTGACTTCCCCTGCTCTTGCCCAGAGGAGACAGAACTGGGCTGGTCTGCCCCTCTGGATTCTATCTGGGCATGACTGGCTTCTGGAGGAGTTGGAGTGAAACAGAGAACGGGGCCCCCACATTTCCACGAATATATTGATTCACTCACTCAACGAATGTTTGTGTAACACCACGTGGACCCAGGCACAGTGGTACATAAGCATTAAGGAGGTCCTGAACTTTGGCAGTTCAGCACAGTGGAGAACACCACCTTGGGAGAATCAGGGAAGACGCTAAAGGAGGAGGAGATGCCAGTGCTAAACCGAAGGTGCTGTTGGGGTGTAGATGTGGAGCAGAGTAGCTGACAAGTTGAGAGGCCCAGAAGAAAAGAGACACTTCCCTGACTAGGACCCTCAAATATGGCTCTTCCTGGGCCCCAGGACAGAGAATGGTCTTCTGCAGCGTGACCCTGGTTGAGAAGAGGCCAGTGCACTTGTCCAGCCAGCTCCCTGCGTTACCCACTGTCCAGACAGCTATGACCTACCTCTTCCCCATGCTGCTGCCCCAGGTCGTCCCCGTCAAACGCAAAACAAACGTGTGTGCGCACTTGCAGGCGCTGGTGTGTGTACCAGGGGAGGGGCTTCTACCAGGTTGTTATCACCTCTCTCTGACCTGCGTGTATGTCTGCAAGTCGGGCAGTACACGTGACTGGGAGCAGTTAACATCTTGGAGCAGGGCGTTTGGCCCAGGGACTGACTGGGCAGGCGGAGACAGAAGTCTTGCGTCCCTGGCCAAACTGGTGATTTCTGTGGTAGCTTGACCTCCCATAGGGAACCTTTCCCCGGCCTGGGAAGCCAGCCTCATCCCAGAGCACTCAGCCCAGGATGGGCATGCAGGGACGGCAAGCAGATGCAGGCCCAGGGCCTCCAAGAGACAAACGAACTGAAAGAGAAGTCTTCTTGTCCTGACTGAGCCACAGTGGGGAGAGGAAAGGGTTGCCCAGCTGCCTTTATGGTCAGACAGGTACATCCGCTTTGCTGCTTTCCATAGTTGCTAAAGGTGCCCCGAGGGAGGTCACAGCGGTCTTCCAGAAGTTCACACCAGGGCACCCCTCTCTCCCATATGTGACCTTAGCCAATCCCTAGCCTTTCACCTGCTCACTCTGTCCCTTTCCTCCCCTCTTTCCCTCCCTACAAGCAGGTCCTGGCCAGAGTTCTCCCCCTCCACACAAGGCAACCTTTCCCCAGCCATCTAGCCTCCTGCATTGGGTGAGTACAGTCAGCCCACTCTCCCATGGCCTTCCCTTTGCCCGACAGCAACCTCTTCCCCAGCTGATGTCACCCCTGCTTTGCACTAATAGAGCAGCTGAGCAGCAGCTGAATGGGGCTCAGCAGGGTTGCAAGGTCCAGAGGGCAGCTGGCTGTGTTCAGAGCCAAGTTTCTTTCTGTGTCCCAACCTTCCCCCGCCCCGCCTGCCCCTCCCCCAACTCCTCTAGCCTTTCCTGGCCAAGTGTCTGCCGCTCTTCCACTCTACCCTCTGAGCCAACATGTCCTCCAGGGGACTGAGTGTTGACTGAGCCCTCCACGTGCCCAGGGGAAAGTCAATTAATTTCCTTCTAACCTGTGGGAGGGAGAGTGGAGCCAGAGTTGTGGGCCCGCCCCAGGGGAGCACACGGATCTCTAAAAGGAACAGGACAAAGCACAACGGCCAACCCGCAGGATGGTATCTGATGACTGCAGAGGGTAAACATGCCGTATGAAGTGGGGTGCGGGTGTGCAGAAGGGTGAGGGGCCCTTGCTTATTGGGGGGCCCCCAGAGTTAGGGGAAGAGAGTGGGCTTGAAACGTGCTTGTTTAGCATTTTTTTCTTTTAGTAATCTTCAGGGAGCTAAAGGACTTCAGTGTCTTTGAGACTTGAAACACAGCTTTACTATCGCCAGTTTTCTCCAAATTTCTGCAGAAACACATTCATGTAAGCAAACTCATTGGCTGGTTTTCACTTGGCTTTTTTTTTTTTTTAATTTTCATCTGAAGATACATTCTTACTGATTTTCGAGAGAGCTTTGAGAGAGAGAGGAAGAGAGAGAGGAAGAAGCATCCATGTGAGAGAAACAAGGATCAGTTGCCACCCATATGCACTCCGACCGGGGATCGAACCCAAAACGTACATATGTGCCCTAACCAGGGATCGAACTCACAACCTTTTAGTGTACAGGACAACATTCTGACCAACTGAGCCACCAGCCAGGGCTGGCTTTTAAAAAATGTCTACTTATGTGCTTTCATAACATTAATATGGGCCTGGGCGGGTGGGGCTGCGTCAGGCGCATCTGCCAGGTGCGTGGCAGGCACTTCAGAGATTTTGTCTAGCAAGTTGTTCTGCCCACACGCAGAAACAAACATGCCAGCTACACAGTGAGAAGGAGAGTTGCTGGGTCTGGATCCTCCCCCGTCCTCCTGCTTTCCGCCACTGCCCCCACGGCCCCACCCAGCGTCCATAAACCCTGGAACCTAGGGTCCTGCCCCTGGGCAGTTCCATCCGGAAGGCCCTTTGGGTCACCTTGGGGTATCCTCCTGCTACTCCACGCCCCACCGACCCACACCTTTCTTCATGTCTCCATGCCCAAGAGAAGAAAGAGAAAAGTCCTTACTTCCTCTTAGCTTCGCCCAAGATGTAAAATATGTAAGGTATAAACTAATGTCATCGTGGTAGATTTCCAGCCTGTTTGTCCTCTTCCCACACCAGCGGTTGGCTGGATTCCCTTTTAAAGGAAATTTATTTCTATTTCCCCAGGAGACTCTGGGTTTGCAATGTTGATTTGGCCCAGACATGCTCTTATAGAATCCTTGGTTTCCCCATGTCATCCTTCCAAGCCCCAGCCCAGAGAGCCAGCTACTCATCCTATCCCTCCCAAGCCTTTCTTTCAGCTGAGAACTGGCCGTGTCGAAAGAGGAGAGACAGCAGAGCCCTCAGCCGCTGGAACATCGGGAGGCCCACGGGGGCTACTGACCCAGTCAGTCTCTGACATGCGGGGCATCCAGCAGTCTTCTCCCCTAACATTCTCCTTACCAAACCTCTGTTTTTCCCAAATGCTAGCTTCTTCTTGGTCCTCAAGAGCTACTCCTTTGGACCACCTGGCAAAGCTATGGCTGCCCTATCATGTACTTGGCTTTGGCTGAGGCCATAACTTGGCAGCAAGGGAGGGTCGTCTGAGATAGTGGGACTCCAGGAAAGGGATGGGGCCTGGTGCCAGCCAGCTTCCTGTCAGGGCAGGTTGGCACCTGGGCCTGTGGGTCAGGGCTAAAGCCAACACCCCGCTAATCCTATTATGTCCTTCACATTTCAGGGCCTATAAGCAAGAAGGAACCCAAGTCAGAGTTATGGAAAAGTAGGGCTTGCTTGGGAAGGTGTGTGTGCCTTGGCTCATCCAGAGGAGCAGGAACAGTCAGACACACAGGAAGCCTGTTCTGAGAGGAAGCCTGTTCTTTGGTCACTCAGGGAGGAGTGGGGAGAGGAGAATGAAATCAGCACAGGAGGTGAGAGGTGGCGTTTAAATTGTCCCCCTCAGCGGTGGGGAGTATAGGTGGCACTTGGTAGAGACTCCTGAGGGCTGAGGCGATTCCTTCTCCACTAGAGGGTGTGGAGGCCGCAGGACTGGGCCCCATAGATCTCCACTCACCAGTGGAATAATTGACCGACAGCATTTGCCCGGGCCGCACTTCCGCCGCCCAGGCGAGCAGCCTGGGAACTTCCACGCCCTTTGAGCAGCCCAAGCGGTAATGGAGCTTAGCAGGGATACTAAGGTAGGCCCTTTCTGGAAAACACAAAATTCCCCTGATGCTTTGTTTAGGTTCCCTGAAGGTCATGACAAAACTTTCTTAGGCCGACTACATTGCAGAAATCCACCCGACCTTCCTACCTTCTCAGACTGGCATCACTGTCTGACTGTTCTCGCCGCCTTAATTGGTTCCCTTCCTGTTTTCTGTTACAGGTGTGTCTCCCACTAAAACCCTTGTCCATTATTCAGTCTCTGTGTCTGCTTCTCGGAGGACCCATATTAATTAACATAGAAAGGCAACTTAGGTAAGTCTCCAGAATGATAAATACCCACAGCTTAAGACCTGTTAGCAGGGCCAGACATGAACCTTTAGAGTTATCTAAAAGAAAAGGATAAGTAAGAGGAAGGAGCTGAGAATAGAAACGGTCCCTAAATTGAAGACCCTATGAGTACACAGACCCCCCAAACAGGTTCATCTGCTTTTTTCATGACAAACAGGATAAGGGTCCTGCTGCCACCTGGTGGCTATTGTGGGCAAAGCACCTTTGGGGATCCCATTCCGTTTTGTGATTTTGCTCAGGAGGGTGAGAGTGGAGGATTTGTTCTGGTGTTTAGGGTACTCGTTCTCCCTTATTTACAGCCTAAATTATAGGAATTTATTCCAGACTTTACATCCAAAGTGTTCCTCCTTTAAATTCAGCACCATGATTGCACATATCTGTGAATATACTAAAACCCGTTGAATTGTACCAATTATAAACGGGTGAATTGTATGGTATGTGAATTATATCTTAATAAAACTATTCCTAAAAATCAGCACCAAAAGAGGAGTTGGAATGAATGGAGGGTTTTAGAACATGAAGATGAGAAAGGCTGGTTTCAGTTTCTTGGAACACCCCCAAACAGGTAGACAAGAAGGTCACCTAGTAGGTGTTCATTAAATAATTACTTATGCAGTTAAATGGAGGCACTTCTCTCATGGCCTCACCCCCACCCTTTAACTTCTAAACCCCCACTTGTCCAACTCAGGCCCTCTTACTTTCCAAGGTCGCCTGAGAGATTCTAGTCTAAACATCCAAAGGATTTTATCAGGACCCTTGACCTTTCACTGCCGGTTGATACTGATAGTTATCATTCCCTTCTTAAACCACCCCTCTGATTTTGTGTCTTGAAAATCTTTGCTCCTCCTCTTACTATGACTCTTCCTCTCCCTTTCTAGCTCCTCTCCCTTCCCCCAACTCCTTCTTTTCTGTCTTTATTCAATCCTTTGGCCATCTCAACTGTTCCTGTAGCTCCAATAAACACTTCTGGCTACACAACACCCACCTCACTCTCCGCGGTCTTTATTACTCTCTCAAGCTCTAGCTCATCATTTGAGTGTCCCATTAACACTTTAGGCGCAAAGATGCCTAAAGCTGGACTTACCTACCACCTTCCTTCTGAAACCTGCTCTTTTTGGACCTTTTCCTAGTATCACTGTCTTTCCAGTTGCCCAGGTCTGAGGCCTTCGATCTACCTTGGCTTTCTCTCCCTTGCATCACACATCCAATCAGGTGCTCATCCTAGCAGGTTTTGCCTATGAGGCATCTCATATGTCTTCCCATTCATTTCTATTCTTATTTCCCCACCGTAATTCAGATGGTTATTTGCTGTCCCTAAACCAGCACAACAACCTGCTAACTGATTTCCTTGCTTCCGATTTCCTCCCAAACCAGCCCCTTCTATCAGCAGACTATTTTTCATAAAATGTTGCTTTGATTTTATTATTCTCTTCAGAAGACTTCTCTGTCTTTCTTTTGCCCAATGAATTAAATGCCTGGCATTTGAGGCCTTCCGTATTTGCTTCTGACCTTGTTTCTAGGTTTACCTATTCTCCAGCTAAAGTGGGAGTTTTCTTCCCAAAGAGCATGCCGTGTTCCCACCTGCCTGCCTACACATGCTACTGTGTCTTTGTAGGTGACACAGAAGAAGTCATTGTCTCTAGTCAGACAGACCTGTTTTGGAAGGTCTGACTTCACCCTATGTTAACTCTCTGATGCTCAGTCTCTTCACTCGTAGATGGAAATAATAAAAATCTACCCCGTAGGGTGGTGTGAGAATTAGCTGAGATAATCAGTGTTTGGCATGGGGGTGGTTAATAAATGGCAGCTATCCTTTATTTCTGTCTCTAAAATATTATCCATCCCTCAAAGTCCATCTCCATCAATGCCATTCCCTTCAAAATTCCTTTGGCTGTGCCTCTTCCAAACGCCAGGGAAGTGGCAACTAATACAAAGTCTTGGAGCAAGCAGGTGACAGGTAAATCCATTGCATAAATGGCTTCCAGGTCAGGAAACGAACCGTGATGGTCTCTTGCTGACACGGGGATCCAGGGTGGTGGAGGTAACCGGCCACGAGGATTCTCTGAGTCCGAGATAAAACTGAACCTCAAGTCTTTATGAATATAGCTCCTGACTACTGGCTCTTATAAAATAATTCTTTTTCTGAATATAAAAGTACTCATAGCCATAGGAAAATACTAACAAAATAAAAAACATCTGTAATCACACCACCCAGAGATACTACTACTGAATTTTATATTCTTTAATACTAGTCTCTTTTTCTGTGTTCTACATGTAATGTACACATGAAATTTGGGTTCTGTAGATGTATATGCCAGAATGTTTCACATAACACATGGGGAGCATTTTCTCATGACATTAAATATTATTTCAAAATGTTCATTTCTGCACAATAACCCATCATGTGAATGTATCCTAATTTATTTAATCTCTTTTTTCATTGTTGTATACTCAAGCTCCTTCTTGTTTAGTTTTTTAAAACACCGTTATCAATTATGCTGATAGACATATCCGGATAAATTTCTAGATTTAGGATTGAAGGGCTGATGGGATTTTTAAAAGAAAGCTCTTTGTTCTGAATTTCTGTTCATGAAATTGAATTTTTTTCTGAAGTATGGTTGACCTTTATTGAGGTATGATCGACATACAAAAGGTTGTATGTATTTAATGTGTAAAACTTGAGTGTGGAGATAAGTACCATGCGCAAAACCATCACCCCAGGACATTTTTATCAATATGGCTTCTCACTTGTTACTCTAGCTCTCTTACTAATTGCTCTCTTTTCCAGGTATTGAAGAGGTAACTAATTTCAGGAGTAAACATGTAGTTGGATTACACTTTTTAAAAAAGAATCTAACTCTACCCTGGCTGGTGTGACTCGGTTGGTTGGGCTTTGTCTTGCAAAGTGAAAGGTTGCCAGTCCGATTCCTGGCTGGGACACACGCCTGGGTTTGGGGTTTGTTTGGGCCCCTTGGGTCAGGGAGGCAGCCCATGAATGTTTCTCTCCCACAGTGATGTTTCTCACCCTCTCTTTCTTCCTCCCCTTCCCTCTTTCTAAAAAATAAGTGAATAATTTTTAGGGAAGAAAAAAAGAATCTAATGCAAGAGTTCAAGCTTAGCTCAACTTACATTCCAGGGACCATTACTTAAGTCTTTTTTATTTTTTAGAACATTTCATTAATTTAAAAAAATTGTTGTTTAAGTACGGTTTTCTGTCTTTTACTCCCATCCCAGCCCACCCACTCAGCCCTCCCCCCTCTCTCCCATTTCCACCCCTCCCTAGTTTTTGTCCATGTGTCTTTTATGCTTGTTCCTGTCATTACGTAAGTCTTAATGTGTTTTGCAGTGTCGTAACTTTCTCCTTGTTTGGTCTTTTAACTCGTTCTGTTTCCTTGTGTATATCAGCAGTAAAACATTTTTGAATCTCAGAAAACCTTGTTCACTGCAAGGACAAGAAGGGGGAAGAGGGGTAGAAGTGATTATTTTGTTCCTCCTTAGCCCCAGAAATTCAGGTTTCCTGCTGCGCATCCTTGTAGTGCCCTGTTCTTGTCCCTTGAGGAACTTCTTATGATTATAAATTATGTCTGTATGCGTGTAGTGCCGATCTTCTTTAGCAGAATGCAAATTTCTGATGGTTTTATTTGCTGCTTCATCCCTAGAGGTAAGCATAGTCCCAACTATATAGTCGGGATACAATGAATATGAGTGGGATGAGGACTCAGGATAGAAAAATATGTGTCTTCCATAATGAGGCTCTCGGAGGCTGGGCCAAGGAGGTGTCTCGGGCCATTGCCCTGAAACCCCGAGGTGATGCTGGAAGGGTGAACACCAGAGGGTTCTTCCCCGGTGCTCTAGTCCCCCCTCTTAACAGGTTGTTTAGTCAACCATGCCTCATGTGAAATTTGGTGAGTGGCTCCGAGGGAAAGAATCTCATTCTTTCAGGTCCTCTTCCCCAAGCCTGTCTGCCAAGCCTTGCCTCCCTCCTTCTTTCTAGTCTAGTGTCTCAAACTCACCTGGATCTCTTTCCTCTTCCACGCCACCCCCTCCGACAGGTGGCCTGACTTAACACTCGACGTGGTCTACAGACTCTGATTGCCACAGCTGCAGCTTTGCTGAGGGATTACTTTAGGACCATGTGCTTATTGCAGTGTGAACTACACTCAGCAAGGGAACACGGTCATGGCCACTGACCCACATTTCTGGGCAACTAAAGACTAACATCCTCATTTTTTGTTGATGCATCGTTGGTCTCCTACCATCCGGGTTTGATTGGTTCCCTCTGTCTCTCCAGTCTTCTGTAGAAGGCACAGACAAATGGACATAGATATCCAGGAGGGTCTTCCAGAAATGGGAGGAAAGCTGAGGGTCTCATTCAGAAAGGCTCTCTTTGAAGAGATGGGAGATGCAAATAATATCCTAGCAGGGCTTGTGAAATTAAAGAAGGAAGTAAAAGGCTAAAGTTAGTCATCTCGATTGGGGATGAGTGGGTCACCTACAGTCTCTCTTTTCGGTCCCTGATGAAATAGAACAAGAGGCCATTTTCTTGGCTTCCTGGGTTGGAACAGCTGCAGTAGGACTTTATTCACTCGAGCCTTCCAGTGGATCTTTCTTGTCCATTCTGGTGCATTGAGAGGCAAGGGCTTGTGGAGGCCCCTGGTGCAGTGCTTGGATGTTTGTTATAAGGCAGGCAGCAGAGGACTCCCTTGGGCTTAGCCAGCTCAGGTCTGCTTGCTTGGTCCACCATGTTTGTTGCTGAAAACTTGGGCTGCTCAAATTTTAGGATATTTGCTATGCAGGTGACTGTGGTCGTATATTAGAGAAGGTTAGGCTCTTATATGTAGGGTTCTTTCTTATACATAAATGATTTCCAGTGTCTTTCTTTGAGAACCATTGCCAAAATGAACCTCTATTACTTATAGAGTGTGTCCTATTCTTTATATTTATTGCAGTGAAAAAGGTTCAGAGTCACCAGGTGGAATACAGGGAGTGGTTTGCAGCTTGGTTCTCTCCGTAGAATCTGGACGGTAAATTACCCCAAGATTCATTCCTCTATTAGGGCTGTCCAACCTTTTGGCATCTGTAGACCACACTGGAAGAAGAGTTGTCTTGGGCCACACATTACATACACAAACACTAACAAAAACTGACGAGAAAAAATGTTTTAAGTGATTACAGTTTTGCGTTGGGCACATTCATAACCATCCTAGGCAGCATGTGGCCTGCAGGCTGGGGGTTGGGCACCCTGCTAGATATATGGGGGGTGACTTACCCCAGGGGAACTTACATGGCAAACTTACAAGGAGATGAGCCACAGATTCTATCCCACAGACTTTGGTATCTCTGGGCTCTTTGTCAGGGCCTAGTAGATCTGGATAGCACTGAAGAATCTGGCTGGGACGGGCATTGTGTGACAAGGGAGTGTGCTGGTGGCTGAAATGGGATAATTCTCTTCTCAGTGTATGCACTAGAATAGCACGTGACCAAAAAATGTATCCCAATGAAGCAAAGTAACCAAGGCACCAAGTGGGATAAGAACCATCACGATTAAGAGGTCCTTTTGTTTTGATGGGCAACAAGGCTGGTTATATGGTTATAAAGTTTCTTGGAGGTGCTGTCCTGCCAGGACTTATATAATACTCTCTAGCTGAACCGCCCTCCTTCCTTTTCTCTGATGTCAGCCGCAGTGGGACAGGAGTGAATACAGGGCGTCCTGGGACTCTTGTGCCTCTGGGAAAATAACAACGGAGCCCTGGATGAAGGTATATATACCCTAAACCTGAACTTCTGTGCATGAGGGGAATGCACAAAGATGGGTGCTATGGTAAGAGAAATTTGTTTTGTGCTTTGTAGGACACCGTTTATAAAGATGTCCGTGCTCTACTGTTTTAATCCTAAAACAGTCCTTAAGGTCAGCAGGGAAGGCCTTATTATCGGCACTTTGCAGAGGGGTAAACTAAGCCTCAAAAGGGACTTGGCCAGAAATGTAGTCAGTAAAGTTCTGAGCCAAGAGTTACACCCAGAAGTTTTGGTTTCAAGTTTAAGCCTCTTGGGGTTCGCTGAACTGGTGAGAGGCAGCCTGAGCCATTGGACTCCTCTGAAACCAATTGTCGTCTTTAACAGGGTATGGTCACATGAAAATGTCAAGCGCCAGGAGAAGCTTGATGTGGAGAACTGCCAGACACAAAATCAACAGGAGATCCCACTTGAGTAAGACTAAATGTGCTAGAAATAAAGAGTGCCTTCTGGGAATATTTCTCAAGCTATGTTGTATAACCTGTGCTCTCGGGGGCAGGGTGGGTTGATCTACCCACATGGGGAGTGCTCAAGACTGAGCAGAGAAAAGCAACGCTGTCCAGGTGGGTGACGGTAAATTCAAGCAGTCTAGCTCTTGCCATCAGCTCTCAGGAGTATGGGACCTGTCATGTTATGAACCTGTCACAGCATGAGTTCACCCAAAGCCACCCCCCCATCACAGAGCTCCCTCAGAATACAAAATACCCCAAAGATATCAGAAACCATCTCCTGCTCCTCTCCCCACTCCTGTGGACTTTACTGCTAGCTTCCTCCCCTGTCCATTACCCCTGTCCCAATGTTCAATTTGGCAAGCCAGGGGTCCTTTTGCAATTGTTGAAAGCTTGTGGGTAAGAGGCACAAAAATTAGCTGATTTTACACAAAGTGGTCAATACTGGCACAGTTCCTTATTTTTTGTCTTTTCAAAGAAAACAAGCACCATGGAATGCGTCTCACTAGCCAGTAAAGTGGAGAGGTGGGAACTCGTCTGTCTCGGAAGGCCCACAGAGAGGCCTTGGCTGCCCGCCCCCCCCCCCCCGGCACAGCGTTTGTTCCCTTAACGGTGTCTGGGCTGGGGCAGGAGATCCAGGCAGCAGACCCAGTGGGAGGACAGCGCTGCTTTCTCAGCCCCATCTCAGATGTGGGGTTACACTTATTTATCAAAGGGCTGAGCCCAGCCCTGGGTTGTCTGGCATCAGGATCTCCTTAAAGGGTCATTCAAGACTGGTGGCTTGCACCGGGCTGATGTTTTACTGAGTGTGAAACTGGAGGGCTCCAGGCTAGTGCACAGATGGGGAGCCAGGAATCGGAGAAAGGGCAGCCCCTGCTCCAGCCATCAAGACAGAGATAACCACCTGCCCTGCGGGGCCAGCCCCATTCTGGGCCACAGCCCACGCTGGTTCGTGAGCCAGGGCAGGTTATCAGAGGCCAGAGCTGGGCATTGTCAAACATGTGCCTAAGGGCTCATGTCACGGTTTAAATTCAGAGACCTGAGACTAAAAGGAGTGCAGATCAGTCTAATATCTCTCACATTTCTGTTTTGTTCTCATGCTTGTGGTTCCAGGTCCAGTACTAAGCAGAGCCACAAGATAAGGTCGTCAGCTGAGCTGGGTCCAGAAATCCCCTCCCCTTAAGGAGTCCCAAGTCGCCCTGTCCTTGCCCTTTGCTCTCTGAACTGTCCTTCCCATCAAGGCTCAGTCTCTTCCCCAGGGTGAGCCCCACACCCTCCAGGAGGACCTTTCTACTGGTCAGCTCACTCCAAGCCATGAACATAGCTGGGAAACAGGAACTTTATATCATGACCTCAGAGAAAAGGATACAGTCTGAAACGACAGACTTTTCCCCTCCTCATCAGCAGTTGGAGACCCTGCCCCTGAGGTATCTGAAAGAGGGGGTCCTCCTGCCACTATCCTTTCCCCCAGCAATGGGGTGAAGTGAGGGAGGGGAAGTCTCCTTTTGTACCCCCACAAGGGTCAGCTCAAGGTGAGACTGTAAAGCCACCCCAGATGCCACCGGCTGAGCCTGGTTGGGAGGCAGCACTTCAGTCCCTGGCCTCGGTCCCCACCCCAATCTATGTCGGCCCTTTCAGGGGCTTTTAGTGGAAATGAGCTCAGACTGGCAATGGAGTCTGCCAGCCTCCTCTCCTCCCAGCTCCTCCCATTGCTCTTTCATCACCTCTTCAGTCTCGCTTGACTCAGGACCATCCCTCCATCAGGCTCTGCAAGCAGCCCTCTCCTCCCTGCAGCACTCACCTCTTTCACCCCTCCTTCCGCCCCCCCACCCCCAGTGTCCTCATTTCCCCCTTCTCCCCGATCAAACCCTTGCCTCACAGCGCCATCCCACCCATTTCTTCTTGTCTCCACAGCAGAAAGGAGAGGAAGAGAGGCCCTGGCAGGATTGATGGTCATTCCCCACCTCCTCCTCCTCATCTTTTCCCTCCCCCAAACGGGCACTGAGTCCCCTGCAAGAGGCGGGAGCAGAGGCCGTGCAAGACCAGCTGCTCTCAGACTCTCTTTGCCCTCTGCTGGCTTGGCTGGGCTGGGCCTTTGCTCCCTCTTCCTCCAGGTGAGAGCGGGTAGCTGAGGTGTCAGGCCCCCCACCTTATTCCCCATGAGTACTGTGGAAAGTCCCGAGGGGCAGGAGCTGCAAAATCTGAGGAGAGAAGCCTGGGACAACCCCGCCTACTGTGGCTCTTCCTCCCCACATGGGACGCTGAGGATCTGCACCATCTCCAGTGCGGTGCACCCCCAGCCTCAGCCCAAGAAGCCTGGAGACAGACCCCAGGAGAAGGCACACAGGATCCTGGTGTCCAGCTGCTGCCTCCAGATTTTTCGAGGCATCAGAGGTAGCTGGTGGGGGTGGGGGATAGGAGGAGGGTTCTCCTAGGATAGTGGAGTCAGGAGAAGGAGTCACCAAAAGCTGGGGTTTTTTTGGTGGGGTTGGGGGGAATGTGATCTGAAGAAGAGGTGGCATCTCAGTGACCCTTTGAGGTGTGTGAACCCCCTGTGTAGAGCTACAGGCCCTGGAACACACAGGCCAGTCTGTGTTGCCCAGAGGGGAAGCCTGGCAAGGTCATCACTCGGGAGCCTAGAGGGGTGTGGGGGAGCTAGTTTGGGGGAAGACATGGATGTGATGGTGCTTTAGAGGGCCCCATCTGGAACGAGTGCCTCCTTCCTGTGCTTCCATCCATGCCTTTGATGGAGGAGGGAGGCATGGTTAGAGCAGCTAGATTCAGCCAAGGGATAAGGTGATGAGTGAGGAATGGGGCTGGAGTGGAAGAGGGAGTAAAATCTAGGGACTGATGGGTGTGGAGAACTGGGAGGGACCCTGCTATTGGAGATCCTGGGCAGCTCTCCAATGTCCCTTAGGACTCTGGGGAACAACCCTGACTGAGAACACAGCTGAGAACCGGGAACTTTATGTCAAGACCACCCTGCGAGAGCTTTTGGTGTACATCGTGTTCCTGGTGGACATCTGCCTCTGTGAGTAACAACCGTCTCTGTGTACAGTAACATCTGTCCATGAGAAGCATCTGCGTGTGCAACATCTGTGCACATACTTCTGCAGGCAACATATGTGTGAGCAGGCTGTGTCCTGGGATCTTGATATCAGTAATAAAATTCTATTTATTGCCTATTAGAAAGGTGTCAGTAGAAGTTGCTTTGTCCAGAGTTACAAAGAGGACCCGGTTTTTAAATTCAAGCTCCTGACACCTACTCAGCAGTCACTGTTTTCTATTGGCAGGTGGAAGTTTTTACCCTTCTGTAAAGAGTGGAAGACCACTCCTTTCTGTTTGGAAAAATATACTTTGGTGGGTTTCATGTAGTAATTATACTATGTCTGTTCCATGTTTCTTCAGAGGCAGAAAGAAAAACATTCAGCAGGTCTTAGGGCTCATATCCCTGAAAAAAAGGTTGGAGATGCCTATGTGTGGTGATGGTCAGTGCAGGTAAGGTTCTCCCCTGTGAGAGATGACCACGCCACAGACATTGAGGGAAAATGTGAAGCTCTAGCTACAGACCACAAACTCAGAAAACTTGGTCTCCAAGTTAGGAGAAGCCAGTGAAAAGATAGAATGGTGAACCATAAAAAGATACAAACAAGGAACTGTAGATAATAATAAAGTTGGACCTAACAGATTCTATAAGACCTATAGAAAAACTTGCACAAGTGCAGTTGGGCTAGTTTTATGGAATTGTATGTATGTGTGTGTGTGTGTGTGTGTATGCGTTGATTCAAAGCTGAAACTTGGATCATATGACTAAAGTAGCTCCCTTACTGGGTGCACTTATGCCCCACAGAAGGCTCTGTGTGTTTAGGATGCATGATTCTTTCAAAAGTGGAATCTGAAGGTCTGATAACATTGGTCTTGATGGAAAATTTTGTTATCTTTGTGAGCCACCCACATTTGTGTTTTTCCTGTAGGAAAGTTGAGCAGGAAGCACTTGCATCTGACTGTACTCTGTTGAAACTCACTGCATGGGGACAGGGGACAATTCTGAGTGTTTACCATGGGCCATCGGCATGGATTGAGAAGAGACAGTGCACATGGGGAACAATGGTCAACCCAGTGTGCCTTTTATGGGGCTCATTTGATTCCTTTCAGCAAACAACTGTCAGAAATGTATTTGTTGACATACTCATTTTTTATTTTCACCATCTGCTAGGAAGGAGTATTCCTCTTCTTTATCAGATCTCATGACAGCAGCTGAAACCTATAGGCTGAGCCTTCTATATAAATGATTAGAAGGCCTATATTTCCAGATTAGCCTATAGAGCAAGATTGGGAGGTTTCTAGCTCCCCAGAGTTCCAGTGAACCAGTTTTGACTTCTCTGTAAGGAGCTGGAAGGGGTAGATGCGTGGGTTCTGAAAGCCCAGAGGTCCCATCCACCCATGTTCTCTACTTTTTGAGATCTCAATGCACTGCTGAATGCCAGGTTGTCTGTGATTTCCCAAAGCCTGAGTCAGAGACTCAGTCCCATAATTACAGAACCCTTGAGATTTAGAGGCCATCAAGTTTAGGGATGCAAAAATCCCTTCTCTATGATCCCACCTACAGTGCTCTACCAAGTGTCAAACCAGCCCTATTCCGAGGAGTATTCATGGGGATCTCAGATTCATGGGGAATCCATTTTACTACTGGGCAATTCTATTTCCATTCATCCACAGAGCCCCATCCTGTGTGCCAGATTTCGAACTGAGGGATACAGAAATACTGATTCTTGGGCTGTTCAGGGGCCTACCTTCTCCTTTTAGAACTTTCTCTCTCAAGCTATTTACTTCTATGTTACTCTCTGAAGCCCTAGTGGGTTCAAGGTCTCGTGCTTCCAATTCTCAGCTGTGTGAGCTGGGGCAAGTTTGCTAACCTCGCTTAGGCTTGGATAATAATCATACCCACCTAACAATATTGTTGTAAAGATTAAGTAAAATAGCCCACTAATATGCTTAATGCAGCACCTAGCACATGACAAATAATACCTATTATTATTTTCATCTCACAACAAACACTCTAAAGCTATAGTGTTTATAACACTATAAATGCAGTGTCATGAACCCAATAAGTAATGGGGGATGATGGAGAATTAGCCTGATACCTTTAAACCTCCGAAAACCTCCAGCTCCTATGGAGTTGGGCTCTTAGTAAAGATCTTGAAACCATTAAATTACCTGAAAATGTGCCATTCCCTGCTTTTGACATTGAAAATTCCCTGTCCACAAAGTGCCAGCCCTCTCAAGAAATTTCTTACGAAAAAGAAATTAGAGGCTTTCACACCCTGATGGGTGCCATTAGTACAAGCGAACTAATAGTAGTTTACTAAGCCCCCATCCTCTGCAGGTCTTTTCCTTCTTTCAGGCAAATCTTCAGATAACATCCAGCCTTGGACATGGTCACAGTAGGGCTACTTTGGTGCTCTCCAAGGTCCTGACCACACATCGCTGGCATTCTATCACCTTGTCAGCCTCCCCGAACTTGGGCCATCTGCAAGTAAACTATTCATTCTAGTGAGGATGATATAGCCCCTAAGGGGGATGAAAATAGGTTCTTCAAGAACAACAACAACAACAAAAAAACCCTTAGGTTTTACAATAGTTTTTGGCCAAAGTTTTTTTATAACACTTCTATACTGGTGGTAAAAAACACCTTTCAAGGAAGAAGGCAAGGTGAAAAGGCTACATACTGAATGATTCTCACTATACGATATTCTGGAAAAGGCAAAACTATGAAGACAGACATTGCCATGGGTGAAGGGAGGGAGGGAGGGATAAACAGATTGTAGAGGATTTTTAGGGTAGTGAAATTACTTGTGTGACATGATGATGGATACAGGTTGAACTTTTGTCAAAATCCATAAAATGTTCAACATTAAGAGTGAACCCTGACTTAAAAACTATGGGCTCCAGGTGGGATAATGATGTCGGCTCATGGATTGTAACAAATGTGTCTCTTTGGTGTGGGGTTTGAATATTGGAGGAGGCTGTGTTCTATAGGGGCAAAGCGTACATAGGAAATCTCCACAACTCCCACTAAATTCTGCCTTGAACCAAACACTGTTGAAAAGGTAAAGTCTATTTTAAAAATACCTCCCAGGGTTTGTAGTTAGCTCCACATATAGGGTTGTGTCATTTGAGCAGTATCCACTTCTGACATTAGACCTTGACGTTAAGGCATTTTCTCCAAAAAACCTCGGTTCGTCACCACAACAACCACCCCACCACCATCATCACTATTATTAACAGCACAAACAACAAACCTTCAGTGACTAAGTTTTCAATGTGCCTAGCACTGTACTACCTGCATTATCTCATCAATTATTCCTGATGATTCCATGAAATTGGTTCTGTTGTCCCTCTTATTTTACAAATCAGGAAAGGTTTCGGTATGTCAAGTAGCTTGCCAAAGGCTACACAGCAAATACATGGCAGAAGCAGGGATCCAACTCAGTGACTGTTGGCTTGACTCAAAGTCTGAGGCTTTGATCTGCTGGGGTCTCCTACAGCCTCTCTGCATCAAGATATGTTTGTAACACATTAATTTTCAACAGCCATCAACGTCTTAGCAAGGATAACTCCCTGCCCTACCCTACCAGAAGCTGAATCTTGATAGAACTTTACTAGCTGGTTACTTTTCTGTCTCTGTTGCTGTATTTAAAAGCTGATATAAACATTAAAGAACATCTTGAAATACAAGTCACCTATAATTCACCACAACACCAAAGATATTTTATGTATATTTTTCCCATTAGCACTCCTTATTCATATATTTACATATTTCATCTAGTTGCATATTTTACACTTTCACTTACATCACAAACATTTTTCATGTTTGGAAGTAGTTTTTATATTTTCATTTTCATTATTATAGTCATACCACAATTAACTACAATATTTCTCTTGTTATTTCAATATTTGTCTATTATTGGTAAAATATCTTTATCCTTGCTACTTTCCCCCCACTTTTGTTGAATTATTTCCTCTGGAATTTCTAGGGAGAGAGATTATGAGGCCAAAAGATAGAAAATATCTTGTCAGTGCTTCCCACGTGTTGTCATTTCGCCTCTGGAAGGGACCAGAGAGACCCATTATGCTGCTGGCACTGTAAGATCAAACCAATTTTGTCACAACCTCACCAACACTGGATATTCTCATTTATAATTTTAATTGTCAAATAGACATAAAATGGTACCATTTGCTTTAATTTATTTATGCTGATCACTACCAAGGATAGAAACTTCCCTGATGTTTTAATTTATTATGTGTATTTATTCTTTTGTTAATTGCATAAAAAAGATTTTTTGTTGTTTTTGTTCAGTTCCAGTTTTCCCCACTCCCCCCACCCCTGTTGCTCTCTCCTGCCTCATCCAACCCCCACTCCCCAAAATAATCCCTATCCCATTGTCCTTGACCATGGGTCCTTTGTATATATTATCCCCTTCCCCCCTCCCCTCTGGTCACTGTCAATTTGTTCCTTATTTCCAAGTCTGGTTCTTTTTTGCTCATTTGTTTTGTTGACTAGATTCCACTTATGGATGAGATCATATCGTATTTGCCTTTTACCACCTGGCTTATTTCACTTAGCATAATAGTTTCCAGTTCCATCCATGCTGTCGTGAAGGGTAAGAGTTCTTTCTTTCTGCTGCAAAAGATATGTTTTAATATGGGCAAGGGAGCAGTTGGGAGATGAAGATTGGAGCATTAGACCCTCAGTGAAGGATCAACCACTAGGGTCATTTTCAGGTTCTAGATTCCTGGAGCTGAAAAGAGCACCTGTGTAAGGGATGGGCCCTTGAAAACTATAGTGGTCCGTTATCCTGCCCACATTTATTTTCCCTATGCTTTATTCAGGAACTGAATAAATTCAGGAACTGGATTCAGACAGCAGGGTTATTTGGAGTCTCATCTGGCTCAAACAGAGCTGTCTGTCTTAATGCAGGTAGGGTGGGTGAGCCGTCACTCTTCTCATAACAACCATATCAGTCATGC